ACTGTGCCAGATGGACAAATGATCTTATTTATGCTATAAGGAAGTTTCCTGTGTTTCTACATCATGCCTTGGGGTTGATTCTTGGAGCCAACTCTAGCCCATGACTCTGGGGCTTGCCTCAAAGCCTTCTCCCGACAACAATTCTCCATCATTTGGAGCTATTTTGCACTCTCCCACTTGACTCTCTCTCCCCCTCCTCTTGCATGTATTCATTTAAAATGTCAGATGAGGCTAATCCTTATGTGACATTACTACAGATGGGCACATGGTGGTCTTTACTTAAACCAGATGCTCTTTGTCTGGCTAATCTGGCTGAAAGCGGGTTATCTAAGCGAAATCAATTTTATGTGTTTTTTGAGGGTCACAGGTAGACTTCATGGTGTTTCTTTTTTTAAATGGACTGTTGTTAATGGACTCCCCTTGATCCTCTGTCCCTGATGCCCTGCAGCACACCTGTTGTTGATCTGAACACAGATCAGTGTGCAAACATGTTAGGTGCCTCAAGCACTATGGAGGAGAAATTATTCTCCGACAGATATTTTCATTTTTTAATTTAGTGCAAAGTGTCGTGAGCCAGATGTTAGGTGACTGTTCAGAATATTCATGGGTTCAGTTTTTATCAGGCGGTCCTCAGGCAGGCTACTCGGAATTAATTGGCAGTGTACACTCACAAATTTGGGCGCTGTTTAGTGGCAGGAGGACAGTGTGACGCCCCTGAAAATTGTAACACCCAGGGACTGTGTGCATTTCATCAATGCAAAGCAATCAGTCAGAAAAGTTTGGGCAGTAGTTCAAATACATTTTAATTTCACAGTTAACCTGCATGTCTGCATTAGGCCATCTGGGTGGTATTTGAGTTTAAATTATGCACATGTTTATGGATTGAAAGGAATCAACTCTATCTTGGCTGAACTGATATAAAGGCGTGATCTTCCGCTGGTATAGACAGGTCAAGCCTTGCCCCTAGGTGGCCGCCTAAGGCAGCAGATTGGCAGGCCTCTCTCTTCCCAGAGATTGGGCTGTGTTTTCCCCCTTGCAGCTCAATAACAGCAAATAACTGAAGGTATGAAGGAAGCACAGAAATTTACGTGTGCCAAGGAGCCAAGGAGCAGAGACTGAGGACTCAGCTATAGAGCTGCAAATAAAACATTTTAAATGTGTTGTAAAGTGCAATATACAAATGTGACACGAGATGGCGAGAGTGAGCTATGCGAAATGCAATGTATTTTTCAAAACGTTTTGTAAAAAAAGCATTTTCACAGCGTTTTTAATATGTGTGTAGATTCCACTTGAGGGTGCTTCCAGACTATTGAGCCATTGAAATCAATGAGTTGGATATCACCCATAGTGACTTTTGAAAACACACATACCGGTAGTTTCACTTTGAGAAATTCATCTTCTTGGGCACTGGGAAGTAACTATTCCTAGCTGGTGGTTTTACTGGTCTTTTCACTGAGGTAATACCTCACATTTTGTGGTTCAGGACCATGCTGCCTCAGACTTAGCACAGGCCTCCCCCCCCCCACATGCGCCTTGAGCCACTTGGAAACCAATTCCTTGTGATGATTTCCTACATGCCTACAATTTTTATGTGAATATAACAACCATGTGAGTGGAAGAGGCTGCACAGCTCCCAGTGTGATACATACCAATTGGATGGAAAAGAATTCACTCATCATGTGTTGTAGCCATGTGACTTACTATGCATAAGAAAGTGCAGGGCTTCATCTACACAGCTATAAAAAACGCTCTGAAAATGCGCTGGGGGAAAAACACATTTTAAAGCTCACAATGGAAAATTTCAGAGTTCCGATTTCAGCTCTATAGCACCATCTGGTGTCACAGTGTTATAACGCAATATATATATTGTTATATATATATTATATATATATATTTTATATATATATATATATATATATATATATATATATATATAAATATATATATATAAACTAATGAAGCTGAGTCCCAGGTGTGCTTTTCGTGTGTGTAGCGGTGTCACGTGACTTTGAAAATTCCACCATGGGGATGCTGTCTGCTTCTTCCTGAGAGCTTTTCTGGGCCCAAATGTCATATGTCCGTGGCCAGGAAGATAGATATGATGGTACTGTGCCCTGTTCTCTCTGGAGCTAATGGTCAACCCATATTATTGGAGGAGGGTATCGGTGCCTATGAGCCATGACAGCTAAATTGAACCTTCATGCTCGGGGCCAGTATATCTTAAGAGTATTGCATGCTGGGGACAAACCATAGGCAATGGCTGTCTCCTTTGTAGCTGATTCATAGGAGTCACTTACCAGGGGCTGGGGTTCCTTCAGCCCTACCAGTAAAATATTTGAGGGAGCCTGGCCCTCCCAAAGTTAATGGGCATTGCCATTCAAATGGTGCATTTGTAACCTTGCCCCCCCCGGCAATATTTTATTCAAGCTGGCACCCTTGACGCGATTGGTGAGCTTCCCAGAAGCATGGGAAAGACCACTGTTGGAACTAGAACGCTGGACTAGACGGATCTTTGATTTGATCCAGGAAGGCATTTCTTATGTTTTTCTCCCAAAGGACCATTTGTTTTGGCTGTAGCAGATTCGGGAATGACATCTCTGTACTGGAAAAGGCTGATAAGCAGTGGCTGAAACATCGCTTCCAGATGTACTGTTTAGTGAAGCATGTGGACATGAAAATGATCTTGTATTGTGACGTTGGCGCGGTACGGGGTGGGGTGAGGGGAGAGATGCTGAACTGTAAGCATTTGACGATGTGCTGGTTCTCCGATTCGGCTTCTGCATTTGAAACCAAAACCTTGTTCCAGTTACATTGATACATGCGCTTGCTTATTACAGTTAATGGATTATTCATCCTCTTTTGTCCTTGGGATAATCCGAAGGATGTGCCTAAAGCTCCGATCGTGTTGCCCATAAAAACCGGCTCGGCCACAGTTCTCCACTAAGGTGTCGAACGTTTCGGCCGGTGCAGATGGTAAAGATATGTTTAATAAAGAGAGAGGGGATTAGCTGGAACGGGAAACAAGCAAAGGGAAAAGGATAATTTCATTTTGCACGAAGCTCGCTGACATTTCGGGGGCCAGAGGACTGATTAAAATTGTATCAAAAGCTGCTCCTGTCGGGCAGATTGTCCTAACGCTGAACCTGCTTATCTTGTCCAGTATTTGATCCACATGTATTATTTCGCAACTGAATAACTCAAAAGCAGCCTCTTTCATTTGAGCTGATAATTAAAAAACAAAACAAAACCAGATCTGTAAATGAAGACGTACACGGGAAGGCCACAGGATTCTTCTCAATAGATTTCAAATTGAATAATTGATTGCTGTCATTTAGGTTTAAAAAGTAGATTTGCATAGGTCACCTAAAAAAAGAAATACATTTTTGAAAAGGCAACTGTCACAATGTTTACTTCTGGAGTTTAAGGTTTCTCTTAATATGCAGAAGCAGAGTAATGATAATAAAGTCCTCGCCATAATGTATAAACAACGTTGTATTCTGGTTTTTAAGGAAATTGCCTGTTTTATTATGACTCAGAGATAAAAAGGAAAAAAAAAGGGGGGGGGGAATATTTCAGACAACTTGCATGCTTTTATAACGTCTGCTATGCAGATTGAATCATCCCCTTCCAAGGTTTTATCAAGGAGACTGGGGGAATTAAATCTAACAGTGGGCGATCGTTTATGGTTTCTTATTTATTTTCAGCAACTCTTTAGGCTGCAGCTTTGCTATTGATCTCAGTGCAGTAACAAGGACCATACATTGTGTGGGGAGTGCCCTTGTTTTTAAAGTCAGGCTCCCAGGCAACCCAGAATCTACCTGTGGGTAATTCTATCTACCAAGAGAAGAAGGCTCAGAGCCCGGGGACTGGTGGTGGGATGACCATGAGTGGTCAGAGGGAGAAGAGGGAGCAGACTGGGAGGAGGAGGTGTTGGAAGCTGAAGAGGTAACAGGGTTTAGTGAGCAGGAAGAGTCTGTGGCAGAGAGCAGTCCAGAATCAGAGGCAGAAGTGGAGGCTGGAGGGGAGGGAGGCCCAGAGGCAGAGATGAGTCAGGCTGGTGAAGAAGTCAGGGTGTTTCCCCCTCCAGCTGCAACCAGTTTCCTTCCCCCTGGTCTCCCAGAACCAGAAGTGGTATGAAGATGGAGGAGCAAAGACAGCCACATCAGCGTAGTCTCAGATTGCTTGATGAAGGACCCAGGGGAGAAGGAGACTTAGGCAGCTGTGGGAAGTCGGGGAATTTGTCCAGCTGGAGGCTGCCTGGAGGGAGAAAAGAGGAAAGAAAATATGAGTAGGAAACAGAGGTGGATGAAGGAGCCAAAGAGTGTGAAAAGGCAGAGAGTGCATGCAGATAGTGTCCCTAGCAGCTTTCAGAGAAGCACTGGTGAGATTTGGAGCTGAGCATGTTGGAGGAATTGGCATATGTGGTACCCGTAGCATCCAGCATTGCCAGAGGTCTAGCAGGGGTGCATTAGGCAGGAGTGGGGAGATCTGAATGAGAAATTCTGCATATGGTGGGAAAGTAGTGCTGGAGCACACATTTTGCATGCGAAAGGTTCAGTTCTTGGTTTTGCTAGGTGGGGAGGAGGATGCAGAGCTAGACCATTGAGATGCATAGCCGGGGGGGGGGCATGGGGTGGGGTGGAGTTTAGCCTTGGAAGAGTACCATTTAGAGGGGCCTGGACTGAGGTTCTCTATTCCTCAGGAATACAAAGCCAACAATGAACGCATCTGAAAAGCAGATTTTCCAAGAAGCCAAGGAAGCAACTGACATCCCCAACAACTTCTTGGATGATCCATCTCTTCCAGCATTTGAGATGAAGTTATAACAAAGAGACAAATGAAATAATAATGTAGAATATCACAGGCTGCATGAGAAGTTGGACATAAATATCTTCTGCGGAAGAAGGTCTATATTACAAAACACCCTGCTGGGCCACAAACACAGATCTGTAATGGTTTGTTTTCTACACAAGAAAAATTGCCATTGTCATATTCCAAACTGTGTTTAAATTGTTTTATTATAAACTCTCTGTTGGTCCCTGCATAACTGGGAAATCATTCACTCTAAATTTATCTTCTCTCTGCATGGCATTGACATCTTCTGGCGTTGTCAGCTCTGTCTCTGTCTCTAGGTATCACCCTAGGAGGAAAAAGAGAAGAAAAAGAGATGATGCTCAGCTGATTTCACAATCTCCAGTCACATTAATTCTTCCTGTGGCCTGTATAATGTTGATGCTTCATTTTAAGAGTTCATTTGAGTTTTAACGAGAGAAAGCGGAACCTACGAAAAATGTGTGCTGCTATAAAGTTTTTAAACTGGGGGGAAAAGAAAGCATGGGCAAAAATTTACTGAGGTCTGTAATCACCGCTCATGCTCTACTCCTTGCTAAGCAGCCATTAGGGGCCTGCACACTATGCGCCTGTGCCCACATGCGCACAGACCTCGGTCTCATGGCCAAGGCCTTCTAGCTATGCCCTCTTGAGCTGCAGCTAATATCTGGCACTGGTGGTTGTACATAAAACATGAGACAAGGAGAGGCAGGAGTCTGGAGAGACCCATGCCTTCTGCATACACATTGGGGGTGCATATTGCTGATTGACTTTCCCAGCAGCATCACCTTGTGCCTCATGTAATGCCGCCCTGCTGGCTCCCCCAGCTTCCAAAAGCGGCTTTTTAGGGGATATGGAGAGCTGCATGAGTGCATTAGTAGGACGGCAGGAGTGAAAGGCTCCCAGACGCACATGGCATTTTGCATCCTGGCTTGCCTCTCCAACGCATCAAGATTTAGGGGCTCATTCATAGGCCCAGGGTGGACTTTTCTGGCCACCTGTTTGCTGTCCAAGCTCACTATTTCATCAGAATATGGTGTGCCTAAGGCTTGCAGTGGTGTCCAAACTTTTTTCAAAGAGGGCCAGATTTGATGAAGTTGTTAACCTTTTTTTAGGATTGAAGTTGTTGAGGCTTTTTTATGATTTTACCCCAGGAAATAAACTGCCACAGGGGCTGGATTAAGCCAACTGGCCCCCAAAACGGGCTTTGGACATGCCTGAGGGATGGGAATCAGTCAATTTTGGTTTTTCATTTTTCCATTGTTATGCTCAGTTCTTTTCCACATCAGTTTGTGCGGGCCCACCCCCCTCTTTTAAAAAAGGTCCTAATTCATCAGCATTTTAGTATTAATTTCTCTGAATGGATGCAAGTATTTTTTTAAATGAATATGCATTTTTTTTGCAAACCATTTTCTCTAATATAATGCATTATTGGTGTGTTGTTTTCACAAATATATGCATTTTATCCACACTGAGCCCAACTCGGTGCATTTTGGGCACATTGCCTGATGAAAGAACTGCTTTGCAACATCCAGAGAAGTGCAGGTTTCAAATGGGGCGTTATTTTGGGAAGTGAGAAAGTTCTTTAAATGGAAACCGAATTGAATTGCTTTACAATCTCCATGCAAGGCGGAGCTGTTTCCCTTCCCTGCCAGCACTGTGCCACTGACATGTGTAATGTTGAAATGTCTGGGGACTGAAAAGAGGTTTGCAAACACTTCTACCTTCTGCATCAGCCCCCAGAAGCTGTGAGAGCAGCAGCAGCAGCCTATGCAAAGAAGTCCACCAGGAAAAGAGACTGACATCTGGCTGTTCTTCCAGGCCTCAGTCATTTCCTCTGAGACATGCCATGGGCCAGAGATTTGGGATCAGAGTTCCTACTGGTACCGCACTGTCTTGTGGGAAACTCATAAACCTTTTCTCTCTCCCTCCCTAGTAACTCTGAGTAGCTGGCAGCTAAGCTGGTAAGAAAACTTGAAGAAGACACTGTTTGGTGGATGGAACCTACTGTCTCCATGTTGTCCCATCATGCTGAGCTTACTGGTACCTTTCGTGATCCTAAGAGCTATCACTTTGGAGATTTCAGGCCTGTTCCGATTTGAAGACTTGTTGCTGTTTAGTCGTTTAGTCGTGTCTGACTCTTTGTGACCCCATGGACCAGAGCATGCCAGGCACTCCTGTCTTCCACTGCCTCCCGCAGTTTGGTCAAACTCATGTTCGTAGCCTCGAGAACAATGTCCAACCATCTCGTCCTCTGTCGTCCCCTTCTCCTTGTGCCCTCAATCTTTCCCAACATCAGGGTCTTTTCCAGGGAGTCTTCTCTTCTCACGAGGTGGCCAAAGTATTGGAGCCTCAGCTTCAGGATCTGTTCTTCCAGTGAGCATTCAGGGCTGATTTCCTTAAGGATGGATAGGTTTGATCTTCTTGCAGTCCATGGGACTCTCAAGAGTCTCCTCCTTCTAACAATTCTGGAAGCCACCATTCATTGGGTAATTTGAGGCCAAGTGGCAACTTATCGCTGGTTCTTATTTCATCATACCCTGTTAAATGGTTTTGTGTATGTGTGTGTGTATGTCAGGATACACACACACACATCCATACCTTGTAATTTAGGATGTAACATTCTAAACTGAGGTTAGGGCTGAAGGCAGCTGGAATGTCTCACAAGCGCTATTCTGGTGAGCGTGAAATGTGAGCTGGATTTCCCCCCCCCTTCCATGAGTTCCTATAAAATAAAAGACATTCAAAGCAGAGAAAGTAACCCTTTCATGGACTACCTGACTGCACATGGTTCTATGTCTTGTCCTCTCTCCGTCCCTCCCCAGCAATTTTGGGGGTGAGGCTCTAAATACGCCGTTCCCCTTTTCACTTGTAGGAGCACAGAAGGCAAGGAGTGACAAAGAGCACGATCCAGTGACTCCCAAATTAGCAAGGTTATTAGCCGGCTGATGAAAACCATTGAATAATGGAAGTTGTGGGGAGGAGGGAAGCAGAGAACAATGCAATGAAGCAGAAGTGGAAGCAGCTGGCTATAGGAAGAAAAAGAGCAAAGGATGGCCAATTGGAAGCCAATGTACTCAGGTAACTACGGTAAGTATAGTCGTGTTTGATAAAACAGGTGATGGCAGCAGCTATGGAGAGAGCTTAGAATAGAACGGTAAAATTGTAGAGCTGTAAGGGACCCTGAGGGTCATCTAGTCCAACCCCCTGCAATGCAGGAATATGCAGCTGTCCCATATGGGAACCGAACCTGCAACCTTGGCGTTATCAGCACTACGCTCTAGCCAACTGAGCTATGCGATCTAAAATGGGGGGATAATGAGCATCTTGGCTTAAGAAAACTGAATTCTGCAACCTGCCTAAATTATGCACATTAAACAGCTGCACATTACTTCTCTTGCTTTACATACTTTCTTACGCCTTTTCCCACTTTCGTTCACCTCCCCCCACTTATACATAATTTGTTTGACTTTTGATAACCTTCTGGGCAAAAAAGTAATTTAGGCTGCTGGTTTGCTGCCCTCCCCAGACCCCTGGAAACCTAATTCAGGCTGCAGCTCAGAACCCAAAGAGAACCAACATTAACACTCTCCAGGTGTTGCTGGACCACAGCACCAGATGTCCCTGAACCATTGACCAGGCTGGCTGGGGCCGATGGGAATTGTTATCCAAGAACGCCTGGAGGCAACCATGTTGGCCATCCATTTTATACCGACCATTAGACACTAAGCCTCTACAAACACAGCAGCACTCACTGAGTGGACATATGTGTGATTGCACTGTCAGCACCTCATTTCTTCCGAGTTTCAAGTTTTGCTCCGCCTTTCCTCCTGCAGCTTTTGAGGATGGAAATAAAAGTCATGAGAGACACTGAGCGGCTACCAATCCATTGTTATGTCTCCTACAAACCGTGTGTGATGTCATAATGCTGGGCATCTCCCACCCCTCCATCCCTAGCCAATCACATGAGCCGTGGCATTTGTGCCTGGGGCGGTACAAAACTGAGTTCTACCTGCTGCTGAATTTGTTTTGTTATAAGTTCCGCTCAAATGGCTTGACTCTGGGAGACTGAGTATCGCGCACACGTGAAACTCCCTGGCAGGGAGCCTCCATATCTTTGAATGCAGCTGCCTGTGAATGCGCCTCTTTTATTGCCATGCTCAGATTTGCAGTGCTTTTAAGAATAATTTTTCCAGATTCTTTTTTTAAATCATAACCACCAAGAAGAGAGACTTCAGTTGGCATTTTAATACGCTTGCTCCAATTGCAACCCAGATTAATTTGTCGTACTTGGGAGCTCCAGCTCAGCCAAAGTTATAAAGAAAGGAATCTTTGCTGTCGTGCATGTACATAGGCTTTGCCTCTGCTCTTCTTGAGCCTCCGTAATGCTCCTTGGCTTAGGACGCCCGTAATGTTCCTTGGCTTATGCACAACATTCGCTGTTTCCCCGTGGCTGCGGCTGTGCGCAGCTCTTGAGGCCTGGCAGCCAAGAGGTCTCAGCTAGTCCAGCTGTGGCTAATTTAAGAAGTCACAGGTGCAGCAATAACCAGCCAGCAGGAAGAATGGAAGCAACGTGGATACCCTTCTATGCAAAAGACGTGAAGCTGTTCCTGTGGTTCGCACCAGGGGTGGAGGACAGATGATTGGGGGCAGCTATCCAAGCAAAGCCTCAGGTGCTGAAGCCAGAGTCCGGCCGTACTGTGGATTTTGGGCAACCAGGATGCATTTTAATGCCTTCTGATGGGCATTCAAGCTGCTTACATCTCTTCTGGCACATTGCTTTGCAAGCACAAGACTCTGGTTGCGGAAACAATGCAATATATATTGAAAAGAATGCTACATTCTAACTTAGCATTGTTGGACTTGTAGGCAGCTTGGGTTTTGAACCTTGTTCCTTATTCCCGTCAGCTGATCAGAACTGCAGGATATATATATATATATATATATATCTATATATCTATATATCTATATATCTCAATCATTGTTTCCGAAACCTGGGCCTCCGGCTGTTTTTGGACTACAACTCCCATCATCCCTAGCTAGCAAGACCAGTGGTCAGGGATGATGGGAACCGTAGTCCAAAAACGGCTGGAGACTCAAGTTTGGGAAACATTGATATAAAATGATGAGACAGAATCATCATCATGAGAGTGAGACTAATCAACTGAGTCAAGAAGCAAGGTGACCTAAAGGTGACCTAACATGCACTCTCTCCTATATAACTTGTTGGATGTTCTTGGCTTTCTAGACTGGGCAGGTGTTAGACAAGGACATAACTCAAAACAGCTGTTTTCAAACTACATTCTTAGCACTTCTGACAAATCCTAAGGTTTCCATTCAGGCCCCCTCAATATTACAAGTTGTCCAGCACTATTGAGCTTTCCACTATAATGCATAGTTTCAAGGGAGTGATTTCTAGGTAAAGCACACAACTTCTCAAGAGGTCATGGAAAAGGCTCAGAGGATTGGTTCCTGCCCTGCATTAATAGAATGTGCAATGTAGAAAACTTCACATGGCAGAAATGTCCCTGTGGAAATGTAGATAGTTTGAAGGTCACTGACAGAACCATTCTGCTGTTGTCTAGGGCCTCTTGCAAGGTCTTTTTCTACTTAGAGGGTTCCATCTATGGCATTTCTAGATAGAGCAAGAAAAAAACTGCTGCTGGTAGACAGTAGATGGACCCATGTTCAGCTTGGACCACCTCTGCCCCACAACCTTCGTGACACTTTGATGCAGAAGCCACTGTGAACTCCAGATTGCTAAGAGTGGAACATCATTAGCTTCTTCTCCTGTGATCTTCTCAGGCAAGTATGCCCCAATTTAGTTGGATGCGCTAAGGAAGTCTACAGCTTTCTCCATGTAGGAGGATCCCAGCAGACCTAAAACCTGGTAGGTAAAAAGCAGATAACGTATATTGCCTTAAGTTATGTTTCCTGGAAGGGTTAAGCCTAGTATATTTAAATCTCTGTCTTTCCAAGTGCATCCCTTGAATGCCAAAATGCATCCCTATGTGTAGAAGGACCAGCCCCCCCCCCCAGAGCTGGCATCCCAAAATGCATCCCTATGTGTAGAAGGACGAGGGCTCCCCCCTCCCAGCCAGAGTTCACCGGAACTTGGTTCCAGCACACCTCTCAGGTGGGCACCATTGCCATTCTAAGAGAACAAGGGAGAAGTTCATGGTGAGCTCCGACATTTCTTTTTGTAGAAGAATAGCACTGAGAAGGAACAAGCCTTTCTCTGGGACATGGGACTCTTGGGCCATTGGCTCGAGAGGCCTAGATGCCAGCAGTGATTCATCAGCCATGGGCTGCTAACTCCTAGCACATATGTAGGCATTGGTATCCAGAACAGGGAGCAGGTTAGTTTGCAGTCTGTGGAGTGACAGGCAGCCCAGACGAAGGCAGGAGGATCAGAAGCAGGTTCTGTAGGACATGGGGCAATAGGCAAGTTCTTCCATATGTTGCAGAGCTCAGCTGCTGTAACTTGGTGCAGGAGAGCAAAAGGCATTGGATATTTGGTATGCAAACTTCCTACCCATTTCAGGTTGTCTATCAGGAGCCAATGGCTTTGGCCGTAGGGCCCACCACTGGGTCTTCTTGCGCACAGGACTCTGCATACTTTCACCCTCGAACTGAATAAGGGGCATATGATACCCCTGGTTCTGTATGTCACTGTGGCCTTCTGAATTACAGCTGAACAGGTTTTAGAAAACAGCCAGGTAGCGTACCTAAAATGGAGACAACGTGCATCCATGATATTTGAACTACATGAGTCCTTCCTTGCTCAAGAAAATGATACTTTGCATTCATAATGCTTGAAAATATATGACACACAGTTAATCCCCAGGTGTTTATTTCTAGTTGTGGTTTGGAAAAGCAACAACAACCACTTTTATGTATAGGCTCTAAGAGGAAACCTAGCTTAATGGGTTCATTTAATTCAACACTTTGTGGGCCACACTTCCGATTTTCTTCACGTACTACACCTTGATCTTGCACCTTCCAATTTAACCCTGTAGTTCAAACGCCCTGCACTGACATACCTCGCGGTTGGAAAGCCTATGTCTTTCAAGGTTAAGCCAGGTTGAAGCTGTAAGTTGCTTGAGATGAGATGTGGATAAGTCAATCGAACTAAACAGCATAATGGGACCCATCCGTTCACCCAAGAGTGGTATCTGATTCTGATAATGCATATCAGCTGACAGGTGTCTTGTTGAGCTTTGTTCTTGCCATTATGCTTTCGAAAAGGTGCCTGCAATGAAGTGCAGATGACTATCTAAGGAGGCTAAGAAGTTTGCTTAATCAGATTGCCTGACGGTGTCTAGCTGCATTTACAAACCAGTACAGACAGCAGTGGTGGAAGCGAAGAGTCCAAGGACATCTGCTACTCAGATGAATAGCAAGCATATACGTTTATGCCATTCATATTCAAGTGTGTTGGTATTGTTAGGAAAACCTTTAAAATGTTGGACCCACTTCTATAGTACTACATACCTAGGTGGAAGTTTGTGACATTTCATGAAGTTTTCTATGCCTCTGGGGTGGAGAAAGGAGACACTTACATTCCCTACTGATCAAACATGTAGGTACTCCAGGAATTATTATTGGAAATATAGCACCACATTAAGTGTCTCGTAGAACCATCATTTCACTTTCTGTGGCTTTCAGAGGAGCGATGCCTTTGTACAATATTTGCTTTGTTACTTTAAAAGATTTTAAAGTCACCTTTCACCAGTACCGATGCCAGGGTGGGGAACAACATAAAATCAATTTTAAATTACTACTACTAAATATCGCAGACCCTCCAAGTGTCCCTATTTTCCAGGGACAGTCCCGGATTTGCAGAAGACATCCTGGTTTCTGATTTGATCCCGGAATGTCCCGCTTTTCCTTAGGACGTCCCTATTTTCATCAGATAAGTGTTGGAGGGTATGGAGTCCCCCGCCCCCAAGCCAAGGACATAAGTAACTATACAACTTTTAGAAGACATTTGAAAGCAGCCCTGTATGGGGAAGGCCCCCCCCCACAATGTTTAATATTTTATTATGTTTCTATATATGTTGAAAACCGCCCAGCGTGGCTGGGGCAACCCAGTCAGATGGGCGGCGTATAAATAATAAAATTATTATTATGGAATAGGATGTCCCTGTTTTCATTGGAGAAATGTTGGAGAATATGAATATCATCTCAAGAACACTAGCAAACAAAGGTTGCTAGAAACAGCTAAGCAGAGGAGAAGAGTAAAACAGTCCTTCATTAAAGGCTGAGAGAACAGGCACATATTCACTTGAAAACAAATCTGTGGCAGACCCTGGGGTTTCCAATATCAGTGCTACCCAGTCCGGCACCAAAAGTCAGTGCCCCCTGCCTCCCACCTTCCATTCTACATCATAGTTGTGACCCTCCCTGCTGCACCCCTGAGGCTCTGTGCCCAGTGCGACAGAAGCAGTCGCGTCCCCCTAATCTACATCTGACAATATCAGGGCCTTTCAAAAATGGACTCTATTCTGCTTTGCCACCCGATGAGATTCCCCCAAAAGTGGAATGTGAAGAAGAACCATCTCTGGGAATCTTAAGGCAAAGGCTGATAGAGGAAGAGGCATTGGGGTTCCAGGCCATTTAGAACTTCAAATAACACCAGCAGCTTGAACTGGGATTGAATGCATATAGGGAGCCAACACAGTTCTTTAAGGATTGATATTAGTCAATGTGCAAGCAACTTTTTGAAAGCATGCAATGGTTGATAATTGAAAGGGAAAACAGGAGAAAGGCTTCATGGCTCCGATGCTATTTTGCAGAAGTGTTTTCTTCAGCATCATATGTGAAAGCAATCCTAAGCGTGGACAGATCTGTCCTTTTGCGTCTAATCTTCCCCTTCCATCCACTGGTTTAATTATTGGAAGGCATGGGGTAGAGAGAGACAGAGACAAAGAGAGAAATGTAAGAAAAAGAGAGAGCAATCATGTCACAATTATTTGGCAAAGTCTGTTGCTTTCCAGTAGAGGGCAATAATATATACTTTTTCTCAAAAGTTAAGTATTTTAACTTGGTTAAGGGAGCCTGGATACTAAAACAATAAGCCCAGGTACCAACATTTCTGTGTCAAAAGCAAAATCTCATGGCGCCCAAATTTTGAGCTGGAGGCAGACCAAACACAATTAATTTAGGATGCTGTTAACCACTCTTTCTCTTCCCTTTTTCTTAAATAGTCATTCTGCAATTTTTTCGTCCAGAAATTATACCCCTTGTGGCACCTGGATTTATTAAAAGAAAAAAGAAAAAAGCAAGGAAAGATGAAGAAAAAAAGACCACAACAAAGATGCAAAGATCAGAGGCCTTTAATAGTCTCAATAACAAACTTAATTTTCTTATATTTGTAAGTGTATTGTAACATTATGTTGTATATTTTGAATCTTCAACGAAAAAGAACAACAGAAAGATGTAACAAGGTTATGGGTATGTGAACTTGGAACTGTCTTTTTAAAAGCACACAGTTGTTGTTTTTTTAAAAAAAGATTATTACCCAAGCAAAATTGAAAGGTAACATCACATGCATTTTCACACACAGACCCCCCAAGTGCTCCTATTTCCCAGGGTCAGCCCTGGATTTACAGAAGCCGTCCCAGTTTCTGGTTTGATCCTGGAATGTCCTATTTTATCCCTATTTCCATCAGAGAAATGTTAGAAGATATGACAGGACGTCCCTATTTTCATCGGAGGGTATGGAGCCTTTAATCAAGGAGATAAATAACTATGCAATCTTTAGAAGACATCTGAAGGCGGTGCTGTATAGGGAAGGTTTTTTTTTAATGTTTCATATTTTATGGTGTTTTTTATAAATGTTGGAAGATGCCCAGAGCGGTTGGGGCAACCCAGTCAGATGGGCAGGGTATAAATAGTAGTAGTAGTAGTAATAATAATAATAAGAATAATAATAATAATGTCCCTATTTTCATTGGAGAAATGTTGGAGGGTATATGCAGACAAATATAGAGAAAATCCTCATTGTTTGTAGCTAATATTTCCCCATGCATTCTGAAGGCAGCTCTGTCAGGACAGTGTGTGGTCAGAAGAAATGACTTTCTAATAGTCAGCTTATATGGTGCTGAGAACAGGAGCTACTTAGCAACAGGGAAGTGTAATCACAGACGCATTGGAAAGCTTTTGTAGAATGCTAGAGTGGACATTTGTGATCTTAAGGAAGAGTCAAGTGAGGAACATTCATAATAGTTTGGATATTCAACTCTAGCAAGAGCCAATGTTCAAAGGAAGAAGAATCCTGCTCTGTCAACTATGCCAAGGTGTTCCTCAGAAACGATACACTTGCCAATCTCGGAGCACATTAATAAGTATTTTAAAAGACAAGTGTTCGCTTTTACGACCTTAAGTAACAGCTTTTTTTTTTGAATTTTTAATAACATTAAACTACAGTGCATATTTCTTGATGCTAATGGGTGCGTTAATTTCCATGCGGCATTTTCTTACGCCATTTTTAATTCAGCTCCCTTTCCTGTTTTTAGTATAATAATTGCTTACAGTATTCTGACTTGATTTTATATGACTAATTAGAGCCATGCTGGTAAAGGAAAAAAAAAAATCAGGTTTGCAGGTAATATTGAAATTAAATATGTTAATTTGTAGTACAGAGCGCAGATTTTATATGAGTTTTAATTTGGTATAGAATCTATAGTTCTGTGTTTATAAAGTGCCCTTGAACAACTGCCCTGTTTTTCAAAAGTTAATACCACAGGGAAACTAATACACAAAACATTTAGCTAAAGGCTGTTCCAGGATGAATTATATGGGGAGATATGACACAGATATTCTATAAATTCAATAAATAAATAAAAATTAAAACCTTCCATTCCTTTGCTTGTGAAGTTGATGTTGTTTACATAGAGTAGGATCCAGACTTTTCTCCAGTGGAACTCCATTCCTAGGGTATGTCTGAAGGCCAGTGAGACCACCGCCTTGCAGAAGTTTGGATCTGCTCACTAGGAACCATGTTCAGACCCCCTTGGGTTCCATTATATTCCAATATTCTAAATATAAGAAAATAATTTAATGATTTGGATGCCCTGGCAGGCAGAAGGGGAGGTTGTGATTCTGGGTGGCTTCCCCTCAGACCTGCACCAGAGAACTGGGGTAACAGCATGGGAGGAGATGGTTAAGGATATTGCAGGGGAAAGAGAGGGGAGTACCGGAAATCAGCTTCACCCCATTTTGCCTGTGAGAGTCTCTAGTTCATAAAGCAGGAGCCTTCACTAGATTGGAATCCCATCTATGCATGGAAGGAACCCTTATGTCTGGAGCCAACCCATAATTATGGCTTCTGTATGCTGAAAGAAGTCACAGTCAAAGATTTAACTATAGCAGTGAGCAAAACACTTCCCCATCAAATCCAGACTATTCTAATATGCAGTAGGGTGGTGCAAATGCCGAATATGTGAAATACCCTCCTCTCCTCAGAAACCAGCTTCATAGGGGCATCCACACCTCAGCCTTTTGCAGATGTTTTCATTGCATCCTTCTGCACAAATTGTTCTATGTGAATTGTTATTCATTTTGCACATGCATGAATCAATGTTGTCGAGGTCCCCCAAGCCACCCCTAAATAATTCAGAATTCACACATAATTTTTGTTGAAGGTTTTTGGCATAATTTTGGCCACAACTTTATTAAAATACATAAATGTGAGTGGTTGCTTAGGCATTGGTTATGACTATCTGTCCCCACGCCCAGGGACAGAACTGACTTCCGGATTCCAGCGAAAGCCAGGGAGGGAAAACAATATTGGGGAAAGCATGGAGCCGGGCACCAGACCCTCATCCCCCTCCCATGCTCCCGGGGGCTTGCATGGCCCTAAGCCCCATTGAGGGGTACGGACGAAAGAATGGCAAGCCCCTGGGTTCCTTTAACGGAAGTCCCTTGCAGCAGCAGCATTGGAGGGGCAGGCACTGCCAATCCTGACCCCTCCACTAACCAATTTTTAAACTGATACCTAACCGCAACCTTACAAGTTGTGCTATGCAGTAGGCAAAAACCAAATGGCACCAGCCAATCAGCCAAATGGACAAAATCCCTACCAGGCCCCTGCCCCAAAAGCAGACGACCCCATGACAGGCATAGACGGTTAACACAATAGCCCTCGATTAGGGAGGGTGGGCGGGTAATCCGATGCACTCAGCAAAAGAGCCCAGTCAGCGCTGCGTGACTTGGTTTTATAACCTTTGGTTCGTCCCCCTAAATGGCAGCACCAAAATTTGCCCAGTAACCCAACCGCTCAATCACTGACGATGGTTATCCATACTAACTCGCCCAGCAACAGAGGGGTGGCCTGTCAGACCCCATCGCAACACGTGCTCTCTATGAAAGTGAACACGCTCTCCCATCATATCTGACCAAACTGGCTGTGATAGAGGAGAGTTGGAACCCAACAAGATCTAGAAGTTATTGGTGTTGAATGCCCCTGTTCTAAAGGTGGCAGAGTTCTGACATCTGATGGGGGGGTATTGTTGGAGATCAAGAGCAACACAGTTGCCAAGTGGCTTGGGTGCATCAGATCTGTTGAAGTTCAACAGCGGCTGTGGCTAGAGATGACCTTTCGCAAGTCTCTCGAATTCACAAGGTTAACTAGCATAGCTGAAGAGAAGCCACACATTTTCTGGGAAGTGGAATTTTAATGTTTTACACTGGGCATGGAGATGCCTTAGGGCATTTTAAACAGCTCGCATGGCTGCAAAAATCTGCTTCTCCCATCGTAATTGTTTTAAGATTAATTAACAATGCTGAGGTAGTGTTTACTAAATTTGTCTCGTTCCATAAGGGACAAATCCAGTTCTCAATGTTCTGTTGAAAGCTGATGTCATAAAGCATACGTCCTTGAAGAACAGCAAACGCTCCTTGGGTTATATATCTTAAGATTTGGGATTTGGCTTTTGTTGGTTCTCTTTCTAAACGGCTGAACTTTTGTAGATGAATAAATGATAAAAGGGGACAAAATTGTTTGCTTTTGCATTTAAAAAGAAATGTATACGATGTAAATAATCAGGGAGCGGGATAATATTCCCAATGGTATGTTTATCTCTTTGGGACAGAAGTAAAATAAACAGGAAAACCATCAGTGGACAAATAAAAGAGCCGGCCAATTTGGAGTTAAATTAACCTTTGTGCTGACAAAAGCTTTCTACACTACTTTACCAATGAGGTTATTTCAGGGCCAAGATCTTCAATTTTTTTATACATTCTTTTCATGCAAGGTAGAGAGCATGTCAGTTAATATTTTTACCTTTGAGGAAGCCACATGGAAAGTATCGCTGAGACACAATGAAGCTGAATGAGAAATGTATTCTAGAACCTTGCACTTTATAGTGAGTAAAGGCTCATCCCCACTTACCTTTGCTTTGGATTTTCCAGGCACAAGTCTGGGCTTTCCTGGTCTGTGTCTGAGCATTTTTTCTTTTCTTTTTGTCCTGGTGCTTTCCCTGGGAAAAACTGTCTTTTACTGCTGAATTGGAGCTAACAGCAATCTGCAGAAAACCCGATTGCCATTGTGATTCTGTGGTAAAACATGGGTTTCCCCGGGGAAAGCACCAGGACAAACAAACAAACAAACAAACAAACAAACAAACAAAACTGCTCCGATACACAGGGCTTTTTTTCCAGTTGGATTTTGCTGGAGCTCAGTTCTGGTACCTTTCAGGTGAGCACCATCACCATTTTAGAAAATGGCGAGTTCTGGCACTGGAGGAAGAGGGGGCAGGGGGAATGCACCTCCCCCAGCACCATGATCCCAGTGGGGTGCCATTGTGGTTGCCCCCCTGTGCTGCGGCCGTCATGCCATGCCCCCGGGATGCATGCCACGCCCCCGGGACATGCGCCAGCCACGTCCCCGCCTGCTCTCCACCCCCGGTGCCGGAGCATGAAGCTTCACCACTGAGTTCTGGAAGCTCTTTTTCTATAAAATTGCACTGTGGACACAAACCTGGAGAGCCTGGACTCTGCCCAGAAAGGTGGCACAAAAGGAAGTTTGAAAGCAGCAGCGTAGCATGGGTTGCTGGTGCCCGGGGCAGACAAGCAGCTGATGCCACCAGAGTGCCCCCCACTGGAACCAAGTGGTGCTGTGCTGTACCGCCTGTCTGCCCACACAGTGTGGAGCTCAACTAGCCGATGTGGCTCTTGGCAGGTGAATCCCCCCAATGTCCGTGTACCACAGGTCTGGACTGTGCTGGGGTCACTGCTTGCCTCCCTCCCTCCCTCCATGCCTGTTCAGTGTGGGCCTGAGCTGCTCTGCCACCTTTGCCAGGGCAGGATGGGGATCCCCGTGGAAGCCGGTGTCTGCATGAGTGCGCCTGATTGTGCGCTCTCAGAATTTTGCACCTGGGGCCATGGCCCCCCAGGCCCCCTTGCCTATTATGGAATAGGGAAGTCCTATATATATATATTTTAAAATCTCTATACAGGTCTTCCAAAGGCTGTATATTTGCTTATCTCCTTGGGGTCTCATAACTCCATACCCGCCAACATTTCTCTGATGATGATGATAATAATAATAATAATAATAATAATAATAATAATAATAATTTATTATTTGTACACCGCCCATCTGGCTGGGTTTCCCCAGCCACTCTGGGCGGCTTCCACAAAGACCAAAAATAAACTAATATGTCATACATTAAAAACTTCCCTGAACAGGGCTGCCTTAAGATGTCTTCTGAATGTCAGGTAGTTGTTTATCTCTTTGACATCTGATGGGAGGGCGTTCCACAGGGCAGGCGCCACTACCGAGAAGGTCCTCTGCCTGGTTCCCTGTAGCTTTGCTTCTCGCAATGAGGGAACCGCCAGAAGGCCCTCGGTGCTGGACCGCAGCGTCCGGGCAGAATGATGGGGGTGGAGACTCTCCTTCAGGGACATCCTAAGGAAAAGCAGAACATTCCAGGATCAAATCAGAAACTGGGATGGCTTCTGTAAATGGGGCCGTCCCTGGAAAACAGGGACTCTTGGAAGGTCTGTGCTGTGGTGTTACATATTAGGGCGTCCAGAAACTCTTTTAGCTGCAGGGATGTGCAGGCCAGAGGGCAAAAGGCATCTGGGCTTTCCTCCCTTGTGGAATTTCCCCAAAATGCCCAGAACAGAGACTTTCCTTACAACCTTTTATCTCGGGCTGCCGCCCCGTGCTCTACATAACAGAGCACAAACTTCAAATAAATATGCTGCATAGCCACGTTTTTACAGGGTTGTTTTCGGTGGCATCGTGAAGTATATGATACAATCCCAGTATCTCTGGGAGCAGACGCCACAGCAAGGCTATCTTGCACGATATGAAGTTGCTGCGAACCCAAGAGGTTGGAACGGTCACAAAAAAAGCAAGCCTGCTTCCTAGCAATTAAAGTGATAAGTTGCCTATGATTACAGCACGGAACTTGGCAGCTGGGTGATAAGACGACAGCAGGGTGCGAAAGAACGGATACGACTTCACTAGTTTGGACACTGCCCATATCTGTTTGTGAAAGGCTTTGGCTGCATTTGCTGAGCAGCTCCTAAAATACCAGCTTTTACTTTGAGAGGCCTTAACAACCGTTTGCATTGCTCAGATCACCTCAAATACAAATTCCCAACTCCGATATGTGCTTTTTTGAGCCACTGGAGGCACCCCGGTGGCTGCTCTCCATGTAGTTTGCAGCCTGTCGTCACCACCTTGTGATTCCTGCTGCCAGCTTCTGCAGAAGGGAGGCAACAGAAACATAGGAAGATGCCTTATCTTGAGCCAGACCATCTACCTCAGTATTGCCTATTCTGAGTGGGTGACG